AACATTGAGAACAATGCTGTGTCTAGAATGGTCCTGTGTGAGGTTTATTGTCTTGATTTACACAAATGGCGAAACAGTTCAAGGTATCAGATCCACTGGTTTGCTGGTAATACTCGATAGATTTTCACGAGGGAAGGTTCAAAGCTAAATGCTACCTATCCTATGCAGGATTGATTCGTTTTACTCTCTCTTTCTCTCTTGAGTCTCTATTTTCAAAATTTTTCATTCATGTGGAGGACTGTTAGAATATTTTGAATGAATATTTTGAATGATGAATGAAAAGTTAATGCATATTTAATGCTGTCAGTTTCATCATTTTGAATGCATATTGAGTGCGTATGAAAACATCAGTAACTTCCCATTTGAAATATGTCGGTTTCACCCTATTCATTCATCCATGTCGTAACTTCCTATCCAATGTATTTATGAGCAAGCTCCTCCTATATTGGTATAAATAGAGGATCACTCTCGGCTAGAAAACACAACAAAAAGGAAAACACAACAAAGAAAAAAAAAGTTCAGTTTTCTCCTCCATTTCCAGCAGCCCCGATTTTTTTTTCTCTTTTCTTTGCTAAAGTTCTTTGAGAGATAAACACAGCTAGTTCGTAGGTCGGTAACGTTGTGCAGCGTGAACCGTCAACCGATTGTATCCTGGGAATCGAACACCGATTAACACCTCTTGCACTCCGGTGAGGCGGCGAATTCGATTTAAGGAAACCGTGTAAACACAGGCCTTCGATTTTGGTTGATTTATTCTGATTCTCCAATTTTCCCTACAGTTTGACTATTTTTTAACTAGCAAAAGCTTTGCTAAACAAGCATTGTCAAGAGAATTGCATGACAAGGCCCTTGGCTAGGGAAGAGGATAGTAGCGGAGTGGTCAGGTGATAGCTTGTAAATTTGTTGAAGGTTTTCTATGTAACATCGGAAGGCCAACCAAGTGAAGCTTTTTCATATTGTTTTCTGGCTGTATTATGAAGTGAAATTGTATCAGAAGAAAACCTTTATCTTTTATAGTTTTTCTTGTTTGTTCGTCAATCTTAATTGAGCTAAATCCTCCAATTTTATTCTTTAAGGGTTCGTTTGATTGTAATGATGGAATTCGAATGGAAAGAAAACGAATTTCAGGAAATTAAATTGCCTAGAATTTTTTTACTAGAAATTGTTAATTAAATGTGTGTGATTGATATAAATTTTCACTTGAAAAATGTTGAAATTTTATATTTTTTGGTATTCGTTACACTTTGTTTTTCATAAAAATTGTCAATTAAAGGAATATAATTTGTTATAATTGTGGATATAATTTATTTTTATTGTCAAAAATTAAAATAATAATAATAATAATAATAATAAAAGAAACCTAGAAATTGATTTCCCACCTCCACAAATTCATGGAAAATGGGTCACATTCGTAGGGGGATGGAAAACATTTGCCAGGTAAAATTCTTGTAAGGAAACATACCAAAATGATGGAATTTGAATTCTAAGGAAAATGGATACATCAAACAGGCCTTAAATTCAATATACTAAACTTTAATTGTCATGTTCTATGTCTTGTCCTTTATGTGGATCTTTCTAAGGATGGTGCTATTGAAAGAGGAAATTAGGCCTAATACCTCAAAAAATTTAAGTAATAGATTAATACTCTAAAACTAAATCAAAATATTATTACCGTATTAATTACTTCCAAAAATCAACAAAAAAATCACCCAAAATAGAAATCCAAATCAGAGAGGAGAACTCTTTGAATCAGAAAATTCCAATACCCTAAACCCTCCCCCACTCCTCAACAGCAGTGATTTCCTATTCGAGAAACTTCATCCGACTCAACTTTTCGATCCGTCTTTGTCGACTCTTTTTCAACTCTCAACCACAGATTTCGAATGTTTTGGTATAGTATCTTGGCCATTTTTATGGAGTTATATTTTTTAGGAAAATGTGTAATTAGTATTTGCTTGATTCTTTATATTTCAAGGTTTTTTATGTCGAAGATTGAACAATGAATTGCTTGGGAGAAATAATATTACTTCGGTATATTTTGTGGAATTGAAGCGGAGGCATTTCTTTGTTTTTAAACTAAAAATGTTATAAGTATTTGGATTTGAATATAGTTGCTTCAAATTGTTGAAATGCTGTGTCTATGTTCCGTATCATTAATTGATGAAATTATTTTTGATTTTGAACTTCAACTGCTGGTTTTTTAAGTTGCTGAACATAGTGTCCCAGCTTGCTGGCCAACATAAATTGGAGGGGTCATATTTACTCGTGGAAGATATGGGGAAAATTATTGGTGGAAGTGACGTGCAAATACTTACTTCGTGGGTATTTATGTTATCAAGTTCAGCTCCTAGTGGCTAGACCTCATTGGTTGGATTTGGGAATGGCTCGATAAAGGATAGACTCTATAATGAGTGTTTATGAAATTTTGTGACATTTACATCTTAATTTAGTCATCAATTTTCGTTAGTTGTGAGCTTATTGCAAATTTGGTTGCATTTAAATTTTTGAATTATGATTATATCGTTCAAGTTGTTAATTCAAAAGTTTTTAATTTGTTCATTAGTTGGGAACTTATTGGATAAGTTGGTTTTATTGAAAATCGTGGGTTATGATTTATCACTTTTTTTTATTTTCAGTCACTTTTTTTTTTTTAAATTTCGTCACTTTTTTTAATATGTATAACTTTTTTTAATGTGTCATTTTTTTGAATTCACCACTTTTTAAAAATTTCTGTCATTATTAAGTTTTTTTTTTAATTTTCATCACTTTTTTTAGTAAGAATGTAGTAATGTGAGATACTAATAGGTGGAAAATTATATGAAATGTCAGGTGAACAAAATGGATCATGTTATTTTGGTGTTTGTCACTTCTTTTGAGTTCGTGTCGTATTTTTGAGTTTTTTCCCCTTTTTTTTTTTTTTTTAGTTTGTCACTAATTTTTTTTTAATTAATATTTTGTCACTTTTTTTGAGTTTGTGTAACTTTTTTTAAATCGTGTTAAAAAAAAAGTGACATTTTGTCACTTTTAAATGTACACTATTTTTTACTTCAAAAAAACTGTTTTTTTTTTCCAGATTTTGTCACTTTTTTTAGTTTGTCACCTTTTAGGTTTTTGTCAATTTTTGTTTATCTATTTTTTTTATCTGTCACTTTCTAATCTTCCTAAAAATGTGACGTGATATGTGATAAGAGCAGCCACTACGCTCACATGGATTGTCTTGGACATGCTAATTAAATTAAGAACATGATTATTGGAGTTGCACAAATGGATGGGATTATTATGATGTTTGTCACTTTTTTTTTAGTTTGTGTTACTTTTTTGAATTGTGTATAAAAAAAAGTGACACAATGTCACTTTTTTAATTTTACAGAGTATTTTTTACTTCCAAAAATCTTTTCATATGATTTTTCAAAACACCCTTAATTTTAAGGGTATTTTTGTAAGTTGCCCCTATTGAAATAGGGCCACATAGGCCCTATTTTTCCTAGGGGACATTTGAGAAGAATTATTCTCTTTGGTCCCTATTTTTAGAAAATAAAAATAGATGGAATAATATTTTTTTGAAAAATGAATGGTTGAAAAATAAGTAAAAGTTTTCAATTTACGTATAATATTATTTTATGAAAGATTATGTGATTAAAAATAAAAAAAGAAAAATAAAATGTAATTTAATGGAGGTCAAATGAAAGCTAAATGTAAAAATAGTACATGTAATAATATGTCAACTTTATGGTTGCTTGGACACGTAAACGTAACTAATAACAATAAAGAATGGCCGCTCCCAGGTCGTCAAATTTTGCTCCATTAATCTCAAAGAATTCATGTAAGATGTAAATGATAATGATTTGCTTAGTTGGTTGAGTTTCTATCATTTGCCCTATGTCATCAGAGTATACGAATTTCCAAAATGAGACGTCAAGCAACTTTTTGCACTTGACAAGGTGAAGACGATTAAGGTTATAAAACATCACTACCTTTTGAAGTCCCCTTTAAGCATCATAAGAGCAATTTTGTTTTGTTTCGTCCAAACCTTGCTAATTCGATTGTTCATACCATTGCTTCTATCAAAATATTGGTTTGTAACCTCTTGCCACTATTAATTTGGCTCACTAGAGTACAGTGGAGGTTTATATATGGGATTGGTAGTTGGTGCATTTGACTTCATTATAAGGTAGTCGTGGATTCACAATGTTTAACTTGTGCCATAAATGGTGGTAAATATAGTTTATGGAGTGAAGATCTAGTGATGAAGATGATAAGAACAGGGAAGAGATTATTTTATTATTATTTCCCTCTCTGTCTCTCTCTTTCATTTTTTTGTTTAATTAAAATAATAGTTAAAATCGTCTTTTTAATAAATCATTCACTCTGTAATTGAGTATAGTGTAAAATCGCCGACTGGGAGACCTCATTTCTAAAAACGTGGATGATTGGAGACCTAAATGTTATGAAAGGAAGGTCGAGGATCTACGTGCTTTATTGTAGAAAAGTTTGGGACCTTAACTTTAAATCCCCATAATTTCAAAAAAATCTCAGGAAAAAAATTCAAACCATAACAAAAATAAATAAAAAGCCCATTGTCCCCATAATTTTTTCCTTCCCAAAAACTAGTTTATATGCTTCTTTTCAAGATGGGATTTTAACTGTGTCGATTAAATAAGGAGTAACTCGAATGAATAGGAAGTTGAACTTGTCAACTCACAAAATAACTCCAATTTCGAATGAGTTTATTGAATTGTTTGATCTATTTTTTAATAAATATTGAAGAGGAAACGTGATTCACTCTTTTCATAAAAAAAAATAATTTCAACTTGATGTCTAAGAGTATTAACTTGTTTGAGCCCCTTTTTTTTGTGTATAATATATTTTGAAATAATAAATTGACGAAAAATGAATGATTAAATATTTTGAATTTATATATAATATTATTTTATTAAAAAATGTACCATTAAAAGAAGAGGAGATGTATTTTCAAAATAATAAAAATAAAAAAAGGACTGAATAACTTCATCTACAATGTTAAACCCCCAAAACAGTGTGCATTTTGGAACCGTTTTGTGCTTCCTCCATCATAGTCTGCTTATCATTGAAGCAAAACCATGGCAGAGCCTAAAATCAAGTACGATCGTCAGCTCAGGTGAAGATGACAATTCTTTATTCACATTTCCCTATCGCTAGTTCCCAATAGTCCCTTTTTTTTTATTTGGTGATTTGAACAATTTTGATTGCAGAATTTGGGGCGAACAAGGGCAAACAGCACTTGAAAAATCAAGCATATGTTTGTTGAACTGCGGGCCTACCGGCTCCGAAACCTTAAAAAACCTTGTCCTCGGTGGGGTCGGAAGCGTCACCGTCGTTGATGGTTCTAAACTTGAACTTGGTGACCTGGGAAATAACTTCATGGGTATTTTATATTGTTTTCTCAATGTTAATTACGAACAAGTATTAATTTTTATGGGTCTTTTATTCTGAAAGTTTATTTTGATTTCTGAATTATTGTGATTATCGTAGTGGACGAATCAAGTGTTGGCCAATCGAAGGCGAAAACTGTTTGTGCGTTTTTACAAGAGTTGAATGATGCTGTCAAGGCCAAATTTATTGAAGAGCATCCAGAGGAGTTAATAGAATCAACTCCATCCTTCTTTTCGCAGTTCACTTTGGTTGTTGCCACACAGGTGTGTAGAACTATATGCACTCTTTGGTGCTATTGTTTACTTTTAGAAGTGATGCTGCTCTTATATATTTTGTTATCTATTGATTTCACATTTGTATTGGGCTTGGATATGTATTTGAAAGAGAACATTGAAACTCAAGTTTTAGTACCTGGTGGTTTTTGACACACGAGTTATCTCACTATGCATCATAAAGAAGCTAGAGGGTTAATACTTCCATGAAATTTGCATTTATTGTTCCTTGTCCAATTTTTATTATTTTATATTCTATTGAATGAGAGGATTAAACCCAGTAATCGAAAATTTATGGTTGATTTCAACAAAAGAGAATGAAAAACATATCTGGTTTTGTTTTGTGGAATGAAGGAAACAAGCTTAATGCCACCCTACACCGAAATACTTTATTATGACAGCTTATCAAGGTATTATTAATTCGAATTAGAGGAAGATGAGAGGTGGAAGGATAAGCATGATGAGTCTGGCTAAGGGATTTTTTCTCATCGTGGTCACCATCCACCTGGCACCTACCCTCCTCAAGGCTATCCTCCACAGGAATATCCTCCTTAAGGATACCCATCGGCAGGTTATCCTTGTTAATCTGCTCCACATCACTCAGGGCAAGGGTCTAGTGAAGAGGTGCAATGTTGGCTGGAAGTGGCTGGAGGTACTGCAGCAGCCGCCGCCGCTTATGGTGCTGTGCGTCACTATGCTGATGGTGCGCATGTTAATCATGGTCGTGGCCTTGGAAAGTTTAGGCAGGGAAGTTCAAGCACGCAAGCATGAAAAAATTGGCAAGCATAAGGGTGGTAAACATGGAGTTATGGAGGCAATTCAAGGAGTGGAAGTGATGTATTCGGTAACTTAAAAGGAAAAATATACAATTCTGCTACCATATTATTAGTTAATCCCTGGAGGTTAATTGCCAGCAATCTCAACCTGAACCTTTGGTCATTTATTTTATTTGAGTCCAGGTGTAAGTCTGGCGAGAATATTGTTCTACGCTCATAAGCTCTATAGACTTCTCTTTTTCTCGTAAAAATCTCTGTATGCTAATGGCCTCATTTTTGATCTGACGATAAAATTTTACATTTTGAGAAAGGCATACAGAAGGTATATATTTGTCACCTCCTAAAAAGAATCATATGTGTTCCTGTCTATAAAAATTTATAGGAGAAGCCTGGAAACTATCTTATGGCTAAGGCGTAAAATATGCAAGTGAAAAATCCAAGTAAGCTTAGTTACCAGGAAGCTCTACTCCCCCTAATCCCTCTCTCTATTTTTTTTGTTAAGGTTCTGGTCTGGTTTACATATGCAAATGGTGGCCTCTGGGAAGCTTCTTCGGGAAAAAAAGTTTCTTTTTCTTTTTCTTTGGGTAGGGGAAAAAGACAATTACTTTTCACATGGTTCTTTCAGCGGGTAATGGTTCATGGCCATAAATGTTTGAGTTTTTAGTTTGTTTCCTTTTAATTGGCATGTCTTAGGCCTTTTCTTATATCTCTGATGTCCTTCTGTTCAGTTTTCAAATAATGTTGGGGATCCTTGCTGTAACTTTTTAGTGTCCTTGAGTCTCTCTAGTTTGAATGCTCTTTACAAGCTTGATCTGACCATGCTTAATCTTATAAGAGGATTGCTACTGGCATCCTCGTGTAATGCTCTATGGAAGTAACAGTTATGTGTACCCAAGCAAAGTTTTTTCTTGGATTTTTATGGCCATAACTTTTGGAACTCGTTGCACCATGTTGTGTTTATATTTTAAACAATACCCAAAATTCCCTTGTTCAACCTCCTTTCCACGATCACTACTTTATGAAGTCGTGCAAACTTACCCCCTATTTGTTTTGTTTGAAAATTAGACTTTAATAGATTTCGATAAATGTTGGTGAAATGTGTGGTTGAAAAGTTGATAAAAGTTGTGAATTCCATGAAATATGTGGTTGAAAATAAGTTTAAGAAAAATTAAGTTTTAAGAAATGGGGGCCGACAAGGGCTTAAGTTTATCATGATTTTCCATCATTGAGTTTCGTGAATCTTTTATATTAAGCCCATAAGCTTTCTGATTATTCAATTTAATCGTCATTACTACACTTTTCTGTTACAGCTTGTTGAAGATTCAATGGTGAAATTGGATAAAATCTGTCGTGATGCAAATGTCATGTTGATATTTGCACGCTCATATGGCCTTACTGGTTTTGTTCGGATCAGTGTGAAGGTAATTCTGAAGATGGTTGTTTTTCTTCTTTATATTGTCGTGACCTTTTGGGAGTAGAAATATGTTTACAGCTTTGAAGAAGAGAATTCAGTTGCTAAGCCATAAACAACTCTCTCTCTCTATTGTCCTTAATCTGATATCTTAACGCATGGGTGAGCAAATATGTTGGAACTAATTTCTGGAATTTCAATGAATAAAAAGAGTATCTTTTGAAAAATAGTTAAACTATGGAAGAGGTCGATTTAATAAATTAAGTATTGGAGTTGACATTCTATTTTATGTGGGCATGGATAGTAAGCACACCTTCTCCTTCTGTAGGAACACACAGTTATTGAATCGAAGCCTGATCATTTTTTGGACGATCTCCGTCTAAATAACCCATGGCCAGAGCTCAGGAGGTTTGATTTTCTTTCTTATTAGTGAAATTAATTTATTTACTGTTGAGTGTCAATTACTTTCCCAGGTAAGCTAACAACGTGTGTTCTTACTTCTATGGGCATGCGTGTTAGATTTGACTTCATAAGATGACAATTGATCACTGACAGGTTTGCAGAAACAATAGATCTGGATGTGGCTGATCCTGTTGCTCACAAACATACACCATATATTATCATTCTTATTAAAATGGCAGAGCAGTGGGCCAAATGTCATGGCGGAACTCTTCCATCAACAAGGGAAGCGAAGAAGGAATTTAAGGTTTCACACAAGCATTTCTGCTCAGCCAACTTATAGTTTAGCTTTGTTCTTATATTTTTAACTTAAGGTGGTTTGCTCGGTGTCTTGCATGTCTTAGGATTTAATCAAGGCCAGAATGATTGCATCAGATGAAGACAATTATAAAGAAGCCATAGAAGCTTCATTCAAAGTCTTTGCTCCTCGAGGAATAAGTAAGTTCTCATTTTTACAGAACCACTACTTGCATGGAAAACTCATTTGCTTGTTTTGGATAACGTATCGGAGATAGATACTTCACCCTAGGTGAAGTTTCTGTGCTTTACATCCTTTTTGTCCCACCCTGCGTATCTGTTCTTCCTCTTGTCAAGGCATAAATATCATGAAATTTTATTTTAGGGTGCATTAGGTCTTAGCTGTGAGTCTAACACGAGACGTCCTTTCCCCAAATAGGGGATATTGATTTTTATCCTTTCACCTTAATGTACAATGCAAAACAAATGAGATGAGACTATCTTTGAAATGGGATTGAGGGATGAGGTGTTGCTTTCAGCTTATCTCATTCTACATACTGAATGTTGCCTAAATTATGCAGCTGACACATTACTGGCTAGTGTGAGTTTTGGGAATAAGAAAAATGGCATTGGATAGCACTGCTGAAGGTTGTTGAAGGTAGCTCAGGTTTTCTGTTTGAGAGGTACCAGGATGAGAGTGACCATACATATTTGTCAAAATCTGATCTTTTTAGCCTTTTTAATCTCAAATTATTATTATTTCTTATTTATTTATTTAAGTTTTCCCAACTTCTGCCATTTAATTAGTTGCATCTTTTCATTTTGCATGGATTTTCATGCTACTTTATTATGTCAGTTTCTACAGCGAAATTCCAGTCATTTTGATGTTTAAGCAGTACCTTCTGGACGTTAAATAATCTGTCAACCTTGAATTGAGAAAAATAATAATTTATTTATTATTATTATTATTATTTTTTTTCTGTTCTTAGTTGGGGTTGGGGCTGTAGTGTGAAAATTCTGATTTATGCACTGGAACATGTATGCTTCGACCAATAGTCCGTCAAAGCCAATACATTTTATCTACACTCGGCATTTTAATTAGATGAAGATGCACATCAAGATTGGTTGAAGCATGAGATATGTACTTCTGACGTTTGCTTCTATTTAGTACTTGACTGTCGATGCTTATTCTTGTTTTTAAGGTATAATATTTTCCTCAGATCAAGTTGCACAGGAAGTGAGGGTTTGAAATTTTTTGCATGATATATATATACTGGAATACTAATGCATCTATTAGTAGTCCATCAAGGCTATACTTTTCATTTAAACTCAACATCTTATTTAGATGAAGATGCATGACAAGATTGGTCGGAAGCATGAGATATGTACTTCTGCCTTGTGCTTCCATTTAGTGCTAATAACTGGACTATTGAAGATTATTCATTTTCAAGATATATTAGGGTGCGTTTGGTTTGCGTTTTTGTTTTTAGTTTTGAATTCATTTTCTTTTTTCTGTTTTGAGGGATTATTTTAAGGTTGCAAAAAAAATTTTGGTTTGTTATTTTGAAAAATTGTTTCTCAAAAAAAAAAAAAAAAATTAGAAAAAGCGGTTGGTTTAAAAACTTTAGAAATAGTTTTATGATATTTTGGAGGAGCATGGGAAGAGAGGGAGAGGGATTTTATTAATTATTTTAATTTGGGAAAATTTTAAGCTCATTTTCCTTGTTTTGAGTTTTTTGAGTGTTTTCATTGAAAACATTCAAAATGTCAAAAAGTTTTTTTTGCGTTTTGTGTTATAAGATTTTCCTTATTTTAAAAACCGCATTTTTGAAAATAATATGCAAAACAAGTTTTTGAGTATTTTCGAAAATTGAAAACTGAAAATGGTCTCAAAATGACAAACCAAACGCACTCTTACTTTCTTCCGATCAAGATGCATGGGAAGTGAAGATTTGAAGTGTTTTATACGTTAGGATATCTGTAAATGCATTTCAGTCACCTGATCACATTTATGTGTTTGTTGTCACATGTCATTGGGTTTTTATCATGTTATAAATAAGAAATCAGATTTTAAGTTACATTGTCAGTTCTAGACTTTATCACTATGTCAGGAAAGCTTTGTTTTATATATCAGATCTTGGTGATGCTTGCAAAAATTCATTCTTGGCTAATTTGGAAAAAGAAAAGAATTCCTAGTAATAACTGGTTACATTGTATTCCTAACCATTTGTTTTTTGTTGTCCAAGGTCCACATCTACAGCAGATAATTAACGATAGCTTTGCTGATGTTAATTCCAGTTCCTCAGAATTTTGGGTGATGGTAGCAGCTTTGAAGGTAACTCTGTGTATATATTTCTAGATCAAACATAAAAAGACAGAGATGTCTGTTTCTAGGACTCAAATTTTTGTGCTTTAATGCTATTAAAATTAGTATTGACAGTAAAACACTCCTTAAATTTGCAACAAACTTTGTAATTGCTAATATGTTCTTGTTCTTGTTAACGGCATCATCAAGCTGCCCTTGGGAATCAAGAGGCCTGAAATGTGCCTAGCCAATCTTGCCATTTACTAGGACTTATGACATACTGACTCAAGAAATATTGCTAATACCAGTGCTTGTTTCTCTGTATAAATGCTGTACCCTTTTTTCCTGCCTGTGCCAACATTTACCAAAAGTGCAACGGCTGTTTTGTCTTCCACTAATTTTTGACTGTCTATATCTTTGTTCTCTTTTTCTAATTTTTTGGACGGTGGAATGTTTCAAGAAAAATAGCAGCCATGGCACCCAACGTGTGGGGTCATTGATCTGTTTTTTAGCATTTGAGCATCCAACCTTCAAAGTAGTAGTAAAGAGGTCCCTTGGGAGGTTTCCCTCCAAAATAGGTCTTAAATTTTGTGAAAATTCTCTTGCCCTCAATCTCCCTCCCTCTGTCATCTCATCCTCACCTTCAGCGTCCCCCCATTCCTCTCACCAGGAACCCCTTTATTGAATCAATGATGTTAAAGTATCCTAGCCAATACATTGTGGCCAACAGTAAGGCCAAATACATAATCATTTCTAGACGTTCTTCATCTGTTAATTGCAAACAAAGACCAAAGACCAAAGAGATTGAAATTGCTGATTGAGATGATGCAAGGAGGTAGCACATGAAATACTAGAATAATCTAAGTACCAGTACCATAAACCCCTCTACATTCTTCCTTAGTGGTGGCTTTTGCAGGAGATGGTGAAGTTATTGCCACAAAATTCTTTGTATCTTATGACGATCTTGCAATTCTTGTTTTGAATTGGGCAGTTGAATTGCTAGGTTATAACGAAGACCAAATTGAACTTTTCTTGGACTTATGGTCACAATGAAGGCTACTATTTTGCTTCCTGAGTCCTAACATAGAAAGACTTTGCTAGATGCTTGTGATCACTTTGACCAATACTTGCCGATGTAGTCTCTTTTTCAAGTTTCCTGCCTTTAACTCTCATTTGTAGGAGGAAGTGGCAGGCAAAGAGAAGTTGATGCGGTGAAGCCTAAGGTTATGACATTGAAAAATGTTTAGAATTGATGAAACTTTCTTGAAGTTGAAGAGGGTGAATTAGGCCATCTAAGAACAGCTCATAGGTCGGTAGGTGGGGGAGGCTGAAGGTCTTATTTCTTGAGTTTTCCTTAATTTTCTTATTTTTTCCCCTCTTCTTGTAGTTAACTTTTTTTTTTTGTTTAGTTGAAAGTGACTGCAAAATTGTCTTCTCACACAATTTAACATCTTGTTTGATTGAAATTTGAAACTGTCCAAGAGGACTTCTTTCCTGCGAAACTGAAGATTGGGAACCCAACTGTCAAAAAGGAAAATGACCAGGGAACCAAGGGCTAATGTCCATGAATGTTGGGAACTGTTGCTGCTACTTTTCCAAAATTTTCAACTTTGCTTGTGTCCTGCTACTGGTGTAATTACTCTTGTTCTTGTTTGGATCATACGAAAGAAAGGAATAGCCGTGGCTATATGAATGTAGTATATCTTTGTATTTCTGTGCTTAATATGTGATACAATTAAGGTTTTTTTTGCCTACTTTAATTAGAGAGGCTACATTTCATCAACCAAAGTTAATCAGTCCCTATTATTGCTTTTCTGTTATATTTAAGATTATCTTCTACTGCTGACCAAGAATCTGCTGCCAGCATGAATTCAAACATGTACTTGCATGTTTTGGTAAAGTGGATATTGGTACTATATGATTTAGGCAGCAGAATCTGTGTCAAAAGCTGGATATATGCTATAGATTAAATTTATTTTTCTAGAAGAATATTTTCCCCTTGTCACTTGGTGTTTTGAACTTGCACAGTAATGCAATTTCTTTTCTTGCCCATCAGGAATTCATATCTAATGAAGGTGGTGGAGAGGTACCTCTAGAGGGATCGATACCAGATATGACATCTTCCACGGAGTGAGAAACTGGCCTTTTTAATAGACATGCTATTATGTTTGTCTTGTTTGATACTTGTGAAGATTTGGTTTGATGACATCTGGTTTTTTGTGACTTGGATGTAGGTTATATGTCAACCTGCAAAAAATCTACCAAGCCAAGGCCGAGGCTGATTTTCTTGTTATGGAACAATGTGTGAGGAAAATATTAAAGAAGATAGGTAGAGATCCAGATAGCATCTCAAAGGCAAACATAAAAAGCTTTTGCAAAAATGCCAGGAAAGTCAAGGCAAGTGTTAGATCTTGTATCTTTTCCTTCTTTCTTATAAGTACTTCAGGTATCAGATTTTCTTTTCCTTTCCTTTTTTTCTTGCCAAGGTGATGGTTTGCTTTTTCCTGTCTTTTGCGACCCTATAACGTGCTCGTGTCAAGGAAATATTACTAACGGATGTGTCTTTGCATTTAATTGATAATACATTGCCTGTGTATTATCCGTGATTAATAAAATATTTGATTATCTATCAAAAAAAAAGAAAAAAAAAGAAAAGGGTTTTCACAGGTATAGCCAATTGTTAACATGTAACCCCTCCCTAGCAGGAAATTGAGCACTCCCGGCATGGGCAAATCCGGTCTCAAAAGCTGTCTAATTATCGGTTTTTCAGGCAGCCACTAGTTTTCCCCTCATTTTACTTGAGAAAGATGGCGCCTCTAAAAGGATGTCTTCAATTTACCCTAAACCCTAATTGAATATCACACCAAGAAAAAGGACTAATTTCAACGAGTCAAAGGGAACATTTAGAATGTGAAGGAGAGTATATAAGTTTCTCATTATATATTGTTCATCATATATTCTATCCATTGTTACCCTGTAAGGCTGTAACCAAAAGAGGGATTTGGTTGTCCTCAAGTTTTAGCTGCATTTTAAAGGTCAATGTACTATAGTAGACATTTTCATTAGATTTTGATGAACGAAATGAGTATCGTAAAGGACTAGTTATTCAATCAACCTGTTTTGAATATAGCAAGTTTGGCCTCTGGTTTGAGCATAATCTTCAATATATTTAAGCTTCTTTTCATATATATATTTTTATTTAAATTTTCAGGTATGCAGATATCGCCCCATTGAGGATGAGTTCAATTCTCCAATTCAACCAGAGTTACAAAAGTATCTAACGGATGAGGACTACTGGTATGTATCTCACTTTTATCCACGATCGACAGATTTAACTTATGAAAGGAATTTGAGAGGGCTTGCCAAATGTCCTTGTCGAGGACTATTGACCTTAAAAATCATATTAACTTTCTGGAATGGGGAGATGAATCTGCTTCATTCAAATGTCTTGACCAAATGTGTAGAGATATTCTTACATTAAGTTCTTAGATGACTTGCCTTGTCCAGGAACCAAAAGATGAAGATGCTCATCTAGATCAAGAAAGTGATTTTGTTTGGAATCTTAACTGTCTGCTTTAGAATAGCAAATACTTTCGTGAGATGATGTGCTCATTGAAAGTTCAAGAAAGGTCATTACGCAGCGAGAGAAAAAAATGTTCAGGAAATTTGTCATCGAATAGCTAGCTTTGCAGGAGACGATCACGATGGAGAAAATTTCTTCAAACTGGGTGACCTTGCTTATCTTCTTAAATGGAACCTCCTGTTTTGTTTCACTTTTTTTGGGAGTTAATGTTTTCTTATGTCAAATCTTATCATTTAAAGGCTTAAGAGGTGGCTAGCATTTTCCCCAGGGCTATCTTATTGTTGAAAGGCTTGATAGGAAGCTTTTATAGCTGAAGAACAATAGTCAGATAAAATGCGTTGCTCTCTGACCTAACTTATGGGGTTGCCTAAGGAGAGGTTATGAAGTGAAAAAGCCTCTGCTTCATCAGATATGCCGGATAGTGGCGTTACTTTTTATGAAATAGAATATTGTTGTGGAGATTTTCTGTCTAGAGTTTTTTGATTAGTAATTAGATAATTTTATTAATCAATAGGATATACATGCTCAGAAGATGTGGTTTTGGGGAAAAGTGGTGCAGGTGGATTCAATTTTGTATTTCTACCGTTTCGTTCTCAGTCCTGGTTAACGACACCCCGGAGGGTTCTTTTCGAAGCAGCAGAGGTTTGAGGCAAGGGGATCCCTTGTCTTCATTGCTGTTTGTGATTGTTATGAAGGCATTTAGTAGGATGTTTGAAAAAGCTGTGGGAGAAAGTTTGATAGGGGTTTTACGGTTGGGACACTTACAGGTTTCCCATTTCCCATTTGCAGACGATACACTGGTTCTATGCGATGCAGATAATGAAGCGGTGTCCGGATTGAAGATTAATTTGGGAAAATCTGAAGCAATTCCAATGGGAGAGATTGTTAATGTGGATGAGTTGGCCGATATATTGGGTTGTAGGGTTGCGCAGTTGTCCATGTCATACCTTGGGCTCCCTTTAGGGGCAAGGTTTAAAAGTAAACACATTTGGAATGGGGATAAAATACATATACAGCAAGTTAGATGAAAGTATTACATTTTTTTAGCTTAGTTCCTTCTAAATTCTATTCTCAAGACTTTCCTGAAATTTTGGAATGGATTCAAGCCCAGCTTACATTACAACTAAGATTTAAGGGTCCTTCTAAACTCTGTTCTCATGACTTTCCTGAAACTTTGGAATGGATTCAAGCCCTGCTTGCATCACAACTAAGATTTAAGGGTCCTTCTAAATTCTATTCTCAAGACTTTCCTGAAATTTTGGAATGGATTCAACCTCTGCTTTCATCACAACCAAGAGCATTTAATTGATAATACATTGCCTGTGTATTATCCGTGATTAATAAAATATTTGATTATCTATCAAAAAAAAAGAAAAAAAAAGAAAAGGGTTTTCACAGGTATAGCCAATTGTTAACATGTAACCCCTCCCTAGCAGGAAATTGAGCACTCCCGGCATGGGCAAATCCGGTCTCAAAAGCTGTCTAATTATCGGTTTTTCAGGCAGCCACTAGTTTTCCCCTCATTTTACTTGAGAAAGATGGCGCCTCTAAAAGGATGTCTTCAATTTACCCTAAACCCTAATTGAATATCACACCAAGAAAAAGGACTAATTTCAACGAGTCAAAGGGAACATTTAGAATGTGAAGGAGAGTATATAAGTTTCTCATTATATATTGTTCATCATATATTCTATCCATTGTTACCCTGTAAGGCTGTAACCAAAAGAGGGATTTGGTTGTCCTCAAGTTTTAGCTGCATTTTAAAGGTCAATGTACTATAGTAGACATTTTCATTAGATTTTGATGAACGAAATGAGTATCGTAAAGGACTAGTTATTCAATCAACCTGTTTTGAATATAGCAAGTTTGGCCTCTGGTTTGAGCATAATCTTCAATATATTTAAGCTTCTTTTCATATATATATTTTTATTTAAATTTTCAGGTATGCAGATATCGCCCCATTGAGGATGAGTTCAATTCTCCAATTCTACCAGAGTTACAAAAGTATCTAACGGATGAGGACTACTGGTATGTATCTCACTTTTATCCACGATCGACAGATTTAACTTATGAAAGGAATTTGAGAGGGCTTGCCAAATGTCCTTGTCGAGGACTATTGACCTTAAAAATCATATTAACTTTCTGGAATGGGGAGATGAATCTGCTTCATTCAAATGTCTTGACCAAATGTGTAGAGATATTCTTACATTAAGTTCTTAGATGACTTGCCTTGTCCAGGAACCAAAAGATGAAGATGCTCATCTAGATCAAGAAAGTGATTTTGTTTGGAATCTTAACTGTCTGCTTTAGAATAGCAAATACTTTCGTGAGATGATGTGCTCATTGAAAGTTCAAGAAAGGTCATTACGCAGCGAGAGAAAAAAATGTTCAGGAAATTTGTCATCGAATAGCTAGCTTTGCAGGAGACGATCACGATGGAGAAAATTTCTTCAAACTGGGTGACCTTGCTTATCTTCTTAAATGGAACCTCCTGTTTTGTTTCACTTTTTTTGGGAGTTAATGTTTTCTTATGTCAAATCTTATCATTTAAAGGCTTAAGAGGTGGCTAGCATTTTCCCCTGGGCTATCTTATTGTTGAAAGGCTTGATAGGAAGCTTTTATAGCTGAAGAACAATAGTCAGATAAAATGCGTTGCTCTCTGACCTAACTTATGTGGTTGCCTAAGGAGAGGTTATGAAGTGAAAAAGCCTCTGCTTCATCAGATATGCCGGATAGTGGCGTTACTTTTTATGAAATAGAATATTGTTGTGGAGATTTTCTGTCTAGAGTTTTTTGATTAGTAATTAGATAATTTTATTAATCAATAGGATATACATGCTCAGAAGATGTGGTTTTGGGGAAAAGTGGTGCAGGTGGATTCAATTTTGTATTTCTACCGTTTCGTTCTCAGTCCTGGTTAACGACACCCCGGAGGGTTCTTTTCGAAGCAGCAGAGGTTTGAGGCAAGGGGATCCCTTGTCTTCATTGCTGTTTGTGATTGTTATGAAGGCATTTAGTAGGATGTTTGAAAAAGCTGTGGGAGAAAGTTTGATAGGGGTTTTACGATTGGGACACTTACAGGTTTCCCATTTGCTATTTGCAGACGATACACTGGTTCTATGCGATGCAGATAATGAAGCGGTGTCCGGATTGAAGATTAATTTGGGAAAATCTGAAGCAATTCCAATGGGAGAGATTGTTAATGTGGATGAGTTGGCCGATATATTAGGTTGTAGGGTTGCGCAGTTGTCCATGTCATACCTTGGGCTCCCTTTAGGGGCAAGGTTTAAAAGTAAACACATTTGGAATGGGGATAAAATACATATACAGCAAGTTAGATGAAAGTATTACATTTTTTTAGCTTAGTTCCTTCTAAATTCTATTCTCAAGACTTTCCTGAAATTTTGGAATGGATTCAAGCCCAGCTTACATTACAACTAAGATTTAAGGGTCCTTCTAAACTCTGTTCTCATGACTTTCCTGAAACTTTGGAATGGATTCAAGCCCTGCTTGCATCACAACTAAGATTTAAGGGTCCTTCTAAATTCTGTTCTCAAGACTTTCCTGAAATTTTGGAATGGATTCAACCTCTGCTTTCATCACAACCAAGATTTAAGGGTCTAGCTTATGTGCATAAAGAAGAAAAACTCATTTTGATAGGCTGAAAAGAACAAATGTCCAGGGACAGGATAAATTTGTTCAAATGGCGAGTGAATTGGCAAAGGTCTGAATAGTGTCCAGAAGCACAGGAAGGCTGGTTTTTTAATGGATCTGCCCATGGCTGAGGGAGAATTTATGAAAATTTACCAGGAAAGTTATGTTGAAACTCATAATTGATAGGTGTTGTGCCTATCCTTCACCTCTCTTCCAATCCCCACCCACTCCGAAAGAAAAAGAAATGAAAGAAAACGAAAGGTTCCCTGATTCTTCCCTAATAAATATTATTGCAGACATGCACACATTGCCCATGTTTGGTCCCCATTTTCTAAAATTCGTTTTCAACCTCTCCTTCTCTCAATAAAATAATTTTGCAGGTGGATCCATAATTTTTTCTAGTTTTTAATCACACATTCTCCAAAAAAATAACTTTTCACAAAGTCTATTCTGAAATAAGGGCATTATATCTCCTTTAACAAGAAAGAAGTCAGTTTATTATGATCATGTTTGGCAAAGCTTAAATTAAAACTTAAGCTTATCAGATATACATTTTGTCTACACATTTCGTAGACCCAGCACTTAAAAGCACTACCAAACAGGCACTATGTCTGAGTTATGATGTCTTCTGTTTGTTCAAAAACTTTTACCATGTCCTCTGGCTTCTGAACAATCATTCTTAAGGTCATTTTATGACCTCTTGGATACAATTTCGTTGTTATCCTCTACCCTCCCTTGCCTGCATAGACAGGGAAAATGGGGTCTGTGTAGGTTTGTTTCTATAAAATGGTAGGTGTGATATAAAAACTCGAGGACATAACGGTAAAAAATTCAAGCCTGCATTTTGGAATATGCAATTAACACTCCTTTACTGCTCAAAATCCAGCTAATTAACTAGGTCAAGTGTATTAATGAGTTGGCTTTTGCAAAGAAAGAGATGATTGATTGGAAAAGCTGGGGTTGTTAGAAACTTGAAATGATGCTAGCATGAATTTTTTTCTCTAGCAAAAATTGAAAATTTCATTTACTTACTGCTGTTAGTACTGCACTTCTCAGTGTCGCTGTGGGATTCTATATTCTACTACGGGCTGCAGATCGTTATGCTGCAAACTACAATAATTTCCCAGGGCAATTTGATGGGTAAACCTAAAGCCTTAGCTATATTCCTCTGTTTCATTTGACAACATGACCTCGAGACTATAAAATTGTTCCTAAATGTTTTGCAGTGAGATGGATGAAGACATATCCAGATTGAAAACAATAGCGGTCACCCTTCTTGGTGACTTGGGTTGCAACGGGTCGACCTTAACAGAAGACCTTATCAATGAGATGTGCCGATATGGTGCTGCAGAACTTCATGCGGTGGCGGCCTATGTTGGGGGCATTGCATCACAAGAAGTAATCAAGGTTTGTGCTATCTTATCTTCCAACCACTCAATTATGTAATCTTTCAACAAAGATTGCTTGGTCATTTGACTCGTTATGCAAAGAAATCATTACTTGTACAGTATAAGATTTTCTGGTCTTTTGGTCTAAATTCTCTTGAGATATACTGTCACGAATTTGTGCTATCCTTGGCTGCCCTCAATACGTTTTTGACAACTCGATACATCTCTTCTTCTTAGCAAATAGGAAGATGCCAATACATTTTTTGACACCTCGGCAACTTCCCATTTGCTAAGTAGATATGATGTGTTGAGGTGTCAAAAATGTATCGAGAGAGAGCAAATTTGGGATAGCATATCTGGGTTCTTCTCTTGGAAATATAGCCTCAAAACTCGTTATTTCAAATGATCACAATTGGTTTGAAAGCTAACCAAAGTCTTTGTCTAAAACTACAGCTCATTACAAGACAATTTGTTCCAATGTGTGGGACTTTTATATTCAATGGCATCGATCACAAATCTCAGTTGTTGTCTCTGTAGTCCTCAAAAGCAACAGGTGTCTGCTTCTTTCTAATTTCAGCTCTGTACTTTCTACTAATTTGAAAGTTGACCCCAATTTTATGGCGAGCAAGAATTAATTTGATGTTTGCTTGCTTCTAATTTCAGGAATTGTAATGGCTCCTTCTCCTTTCAAGTTATCAGCTGATTCTTGTTCATCCGATATGGAGCGTGTCCATTCGAAGTGCAGCTAAGTGGGAAGATTATCATACAAGCAATAAGGTCGAAATTTTTCTGGAGGTTGTACTCTATTTATCCACGAGGAAAATGCAGTTTCAAATATTTAATGGATGTGGGATACATGCCAACTGAGCGAAATTCTGAAATTCAAATACTAAAACTTCGGATTTCGAAATTTTCAAAGATATCAATTGGAATTCGGTCCATTAAGAACTGGATTTCTCAATTCTATTTCATGTTCCTCGTATAATTTGGCTCAAGATTAAAATTGTATTTTTTTGATTGCACGCTTATGTAATGTTTGTCTAGTATTATAATTGAGTAAAACTTATTTATAAGTAATTTTTAAGGCATATATGGGGTCTATATATTAAAATATAATTCAACATGCGGGGCTTACACATATAATATAGAGTCCAAGTAAACATTTGCATAAAATATTAGAGGATAATTGCAGCAAAAGTTTCACACATTGAAAATACTAGTAGATTTTTTCAAAATCTTTCAATCGTTGCAGCTGTCATTCCTAACCTTTTCAATCGTTGCATGTGAAGCCATTTTGAATGCTTTTAATCATTTTTTCTGTCAATTGATCAAGAAAATAAAATTTGATTTTCTTTGATCAGTTAAGTGGAGGGTGAAATGGGACTTTATAATATTACCGTATAAATATAAAATAATTAAAATACCAATAAAAAAATGAAAAGAAAAATAAATAACCCTGCTTCCAAAACCAAACTGGAAAAGGCCCATTGCCATTTCGTCCCACCGTTGTCGGTCGACCATCGCCAACCTACAACATAAACGACGGCCCATAATAGTTGCCACATTCCTTAAACCACCAAAATGTTGCCCATGAGAAATCAACAAGCAAAAATGGTGGTCTCGATTTGACAGTGTGGGGGCGAGGCAGGTTTATTCACCATAGGATTCCAGAGCTTTGTCGTTTTGAAGAATCAGATGTTTTCTTTTTATTAATTTTCAGGCCAAAGCAGATATTTAAAGTTTGGAAAATGTAAAATTTAATGGTCGCTGTAATTTTCTGTCCTCTCAATTTTGAAGATGTAAAGTTCTTCTTAGAGGAGGCGAGGGCGCTGGTGTAGATGGGGTTGTCATTGGTGGTGGTTGTGTAGGAAACGAGGGAGGAAATTGTGAATTTTGAGCGAGTGTTGGTATTTGAATCTGTTTGTGAGGCAGTTGTGGTTAAACCATTACTATTGAGCGATTAGGTGCTTTGTTGACCCCAGAATATGTTGCCAACAGATACCGGACCCACCTGCGCACACGTAAGTCTGGTCCAACACGCTAAGACATGTAGACGGTTTAGAACTGGTAGTAAAAAGGGGGTGTGGGAGCGGCTCAAAAGCGCGGGACGAGAACGTTCGGAATCCGGCGAGATGTTTGCATAACGATTGTACAATAATTACCAATCGATGTTTGTAAAATGCATGTATGTTGCAAGAGAGTAAAATGTAAAAAATGCTGTGTATATTCTTATGTTGAATCTTGCATTACCCACGTGAGAGATGCATAGGGGAGTATTTATAGTATTACAACTTAGATCGTAACCCTTGGTTGGGAGTACACGTGCCCTCATCTCTTAAGTCTACATGTCAAATTATAGGTGTCACGTTTGACTTTCTAGTGTGCTGTACATTATTACTCGACGGCTCTACCACTACATTGACAAGACAAGACATTTGCACTCTATGATGGGTGTCCCATCAATCAATCAGAAAGGATTCTTGTATAAGATCGGATCTCTGGGGAGGAGTGCTGCTTAGAGCCTCAGGACCTTGGAGAAGATTGGGCCTCGGAGGAAAGAGCCTTGGCTACAAGATCACCTCGGCATATTACCTTCGGCGTCAGCACTTGGGCCACGTCTGACGTTTTTATAGTATGCTGGTCAACTCCTGTTGGCCTCGGATAAGATGCCACGTAGTTCGGCAGAAGTGGGCCCAACGGCCAAGTGTGTCAACACGAATCAATAGTCTCCCAAGTCCAAGTATGATCATTTATGTAATGCATTGACTTTTATTGTGGTGAAGTGTGTGGGGTAAAAATTGAAAGACTTTTTTGTACCTTAACTAATAGTCCCCCAAGTCCAAGTGTAGATATTTATATCATGGTTGGAGGTGAAAGTGGTGGTGTTGCTATGATTGGAAAAGGTGACGAAGAAGCCGAGGCGGTGAGTGGATCGAACCTGCCGATGCAGTGATTGGATCGAACCTGTCGAGGCTTGTGAAGATGTGGCTGATTTGCGAAGAAGCAGAAGAAGAAGTCGAGGCGGTGAAGTTGATTGAACCTGCCGAGGCTTTGTGAACAGTTATGATTGTCTTCGATGTTTGTGCCAATGATTTGATGTTTTGCTCATGTTGCCAAGGAAAGGCAGTCAAGCTGTTTCGACTTCCAAGGCACGTTCGGCTGCTGCATTGAATGTCCAATGATGGCTACAACTGGGGCTTCTAGAAGGAGACACGTTTGGAGAGGTGCGTGAGGAGCACGTTTGAATCTGAGGCGTAGATTTCAAAACGATTTGAATTCTACGCTTCGGATTTAACCCAGAATTGGAGGACTGAGATTAATGGGGCTTTCATCCAAGGGTTGGGGTTCGTCTTGGCTTCCTATAAAAGGCTAGAGACTTCCATTTTGAACCATTCTTCATCGTTTGATTTCTGTGTTCTCTGCATTTCCTTAAGTTTTCGACATTTAAAGTCTTGCTCCGATTTCAAACTCCAGCGTTTCGCAGTTCCTCGTTTGTTAGTCATTTCTGTAAGTATTTCTTGCAAGAATCATTTCTTTTGCGATCTTTGTCGATTTTCCAAACTTTTTGATATGGAGTCCACTTCGAGTAGGGAATTGGTGGCCATAGCTAGGTTGGGTGAGGAGCTGTTCTGAGGACTCTGAGGTGGAGTATTATGCCATGGCCGAGGAGCCTATAGATTATGAGGAAGAATGGGGGCTGCTAGGATAGCGTCAAACATGACCTTGAAGAAGTTGGAGAAAATTAGGGAGAAATATTGCGTCCCTCATTACGTGGAGATGTTAGTCCCCGAGGCCCATGAAAGGACTTGTTTTTCGAGGCCTGGATGTGGGGCTGTAAATGAATACCTGTTCAAAGCAGGTATGCGTCTTCCTCTGCACCCCTTCTTTAGGGCTGTGCTTAGAAATTTTATGTTGTCACTGACCCAAGTTCTACCGAATGGGTGGAGCCAGCTAGTGGGGTTGTACTTCTTGTGGAAAGAAGTGTTATTAGGGGGGGATATGCCTCTGCACGTCTTTCAGACCCTTTTTCACCCTCGCGTCTTAGGTAAAGACGAGTCGAAGGGGTGGTATTACATCACACCCTGGGGAGCTCACGCACCCTTCGTGGTGGGTCTGCCTTCTTCCATCAAGGGATGGAAGAAGTCGTGGTTCTGGGTTCGGGGAAAGTGGCAGGCGGTTGAGGGGGATAAGGCCGTGGCTTGCACAGTACTGACGAAGTACTACGAAGCTCGTGAGTGTCCAAGCTTGAGATGTTTACATTTTGCTAAGTTTCTCAATTTTTTTTTTGCTAACTGTTGCCACTTATTTTGTAGATTCTAGTACGAGATTTGAGCTCAGCAAGGGAGAGGTTGAAGTTATAGAGAACATATATAAGCGGCCTTTGAAGCTTCGCCACTTTGACCACTTTATTGACCGAAGCTGATACTTCGTAGATTTTGAACTGATGGCTTCCAAGGGTAAGAAATGTGTCCACTTGATCAAATTTGTACTTGATTGATATTCAGTGTTGACCTATTGTGTCTTCGCAGAGAAGTTTAAGAAAAGGGAGTACCCCATCCCAGACATGACTTTAATTCTGAGAGCCACCTCCACACCGGGGGTGAGGCCTCGGAAGCCGAACTCCGGTGCGATGATGGAGGTCAGGGGCCAGCTGGAGAGGCTATCCAAGAATAGCACCTCTAGTGGGTCAGGAGAGGAGGCCCCCCAAAAGTCTGAGAAGATGAAGGAGCCTCGAGACAAAGTAAAGGTCCACGAGGACTCCCACAAGAAGAGGAGGTTGGTTCACGTCACCAGCTCTTTCGAGAAGTTCGGGACATCAGTGTCCCATTCGAGCAAGGATGCCCCTCCTCAGCCGAAGCTACTAGACTCTTCCATGAAGACAGTGAAAGTTGAAATGGTGAGAAAAGCTGATGCCGAGGAGACCAGGGAGGAAGTTGCTAGGAGGGCAGCAGAAGAAGTTGAGGAGGCATAGCTAAGCAGAGGCCAGCCAGGACTCAAGGGAAGTCCCCCAATTTTCTAGCGGGGTGTGATGAGGTGTTGGTGCCGACTTTGTTGGATGCGCCGCCTGCTGAGGTCCGAGGTGCCATAGAAAGTTTTTACTAGTTCTAGACCGACCAGTGGTAGATGCATGCCTCAAGCTGCGATGCGGTGGACCTCACCAGGGCTTTGGTGAGCCAAAGTGTGAGGAATCTAGGCCTCGCACTTGAGTGCAGGGAAACGCTCGTCGACTTTCAGACGAGGAATAAGTCCTCCAGGGACAAGTTGACGTCCACTGAGGAGGAACTAAAGAAAATAAGGGTTGAGGCGGAGGAGATGAAGGCCCAAAAGATTGAAGATGCTGCCAAGTTGGAATTTGCCTTGACCCAAATTGAGGTTTTGAAGAAAGAGGTGTATGAGTCTCAATGTGAGGTGGCCTCCCTCACTAAGAAAGTGGAGATTTCTAATAATCACCAGAAGGTGGCAGCTGAAGCCCTGGAGCAGGCCAATTTAGAGCTGATCGAGGCCAAGGATGTGTACCAATTTTTGGAAGGCCAAATAAAATGGTATATTGATGAGCTGAAAAGGGCAAGGGAGGAGGCCCAGGTGGCAAGGAAGGAGGCAGTTAAGGATTACATTGCCAACTTCCATCTCATCGAGGAGTTTTAGCGCTTCGGGTTGTATTGGAGGAACTTTGACTATGCTGAGGTGCTGCATAGGGCTGAGAAGCTTCTTCCAAACATTGACCTATCACAACTGAAGTCGAAGTTTGTTGATGAAGTTCCTCAGACGCCTGCTGAGGAAGCAATCGGTGATGAAGCGGCCGAGGATAAGGAAACAGATACTTTTGAAACTCAAACTGCGGAGGCGCCTGTTGCCAAGGCACAACCACCACCCACCTACGTAGCATAGTTTACTTTCAATTCATTCTGATGTACTAGCCTTGAGCCCCCCTCTTGTAATATCATATTCAATGTCAATGAAAGTCAATATTTTGCAACATTATGTCTTCTTTTCAATATCAAGTACATGGACCTCGATAAATAATCAA